CTTTGTCATACAACCTGTCCCCAATTCTTCCACAGGCATCCTGAAGAATAGGTTGCAATACCCATTGGTGCCCCAGACTCGAGGCACTCCTGAGCTATCCTGGTGCCGTGCAGCTACCTTGGGCCACCGTGCTGTTCCGGCTGCCTCCTATGGTCGCATCTATGCAGGTGGGGGCACAGGTAGCCTTTCACAGCCAGCCAGCCGCTACTCTTCTCGAGAACAGCTGGACTTGCTCCTGAGGCGACAGCTGAGCCGGGAGAGACTAGAGGAAGTTCCGGTTCCTGCCCCTGTTTTGCATCCCCTGAGCCGGCCAGGCTCCCAGGAACACCTGGATGCTACACCAGTCCGCCTGGAGCCCAGAGATCGGGGCAGCACCCTACCACGGAGGCAGCCACCCCGGGACTACCCTGGCACTATGGCTGGACGCTTTGGGTCACGGGATGCACTGGACTTAGGGGCGCCCCGAGAATGGTTGAGCACACTGCCCCCACCCCGCCGCAACCGGGACCTTGACCCACAGCACCCACCTTTGCCCCTGTCTCCACAGCGGCAACTCTCAAGGGACCCCCTCTTACCATCTCGGCCCCTGGACTCTCTATCTAGGATTTCGAACTCTCGGGAGCGGCTGGACCAGGTGCCTAGTCGGCATCCCTCACGAGAGGCCCTTGGACCAGCCCCACAGCTTCTCAGAGCCAGGGAGGACCCGGCCAGTGGCCCTAGCCATGGCCCCTCCACAGAGCAACTAGACATTCTCTCCTCTATCCTTGCCTCTTTCAACTCCTCAGCCCTGTCTTCTGTGCAGTCCTCAAGCACGCCCTCGGGCCCTCACACCACTGCCACGCCTTCGGCCACAGCCTCTGCACTTGGGCCTTCCACACCTCGCTCAGCCACATCCCACAGCATCTCGGAGTTGTCACCAGATTCAGAGTAAGCAGGGCCCAGATCCCTGTTCGTACTCTTGTCAGCTTAGAGCAGCTTCCCCATGTGGCCATCCCTGAGGTCCACTGCAGAATGAACTGGGAGTTGGCCCACAGATATGGGCTACCCCAAGGCTCAGCACAGCCAGGAGGCCACATGTTAGGAACAGTTCCAGCGTACCATGGGAACAGAACTAGCTGGAACTTGCTGGCTGTATGGTTTGAGCCAGCTTCCAAACCCTACACATCCCAAAAGTGCCCCCAAAGGCTGACACTAGTGGAGGGGGTAGGCAGGGTCAAGGCATCAAAGTTCGAAATATCCTGGCATTTGCATGAGGCAATGAGAGGAATCTTTGTTCCGAAGGCCCCGCCTAAGAGGTCATATGGAACACTAGCATATTATGCCAGACTGAGGAGTCACTTTAGAGTAAGTCATTCACTCAGTGCTGGATTCCATCCGCATGACACTGCTCCCCGCTGTGGGCACTGTGGAGTTAGGCACAGTACAACTCAAGCGCCTACAGAGCATCTGTGGGGCTGATTTTCAGAGTCAGCACAAGTGGCTGGATACGCAGGAATCCAAGAAGGAATGGGGGAGCAGGGAAAAGCGCTGCCAGACCCAGAGTGCGCAGGGCCCAGCCGGGGAGTTGCGGGGTCTGACAAGCCAATAGGGGAGTTGTCTGTCAAGGAGAAGCTGCCAGGTCAAGCTCTGGGTGAGAGATGACCTGAGGGAAGAGGGTCTCTGGGGCTGGGGCCCAAGAGGACTAGCAGGGCCCAATGTTGAGAGGACAGAGGCGGGGGAGGAAGCAGGGCTTGGGGGCCTGGAGTTCTAGAGGGATGCTGAAAGGGAAGGGTGAGAAGCAGACAACCCATCTGGGTTCCCTGCAGTCTAGCCTTGGGCTCTGCAGAAGTGCCGGGAACTGAGTAGGGACTCAGGCTTTAGAGTCACAAGAGTTTGAGTTTGCGTTCCGTCCCTCATCTCCGACCTTGGCACAGTACAAGCCACACAGCAGCTCTTCATCTGTAGAGTTAGTTTATAGAAACAAACTCCTTGAAATGTGGAGATTTGTGACCTTATCTGACTTACCGATGCTTCGTGTAGTGTCTGCGTAGAAGGTGGCTTGCTAAACAGAGAGACCTAGGCAGCCACTTGCTAATGAGGCTAGGGAGTGGAGGTCCACATGGGTATTTGGAGGGCTCAGAATCCTGGCGTGGGCATGAAGGGGCTGAGGGCTAACGGGGAAAGCTCCTCTTAGCCCTGGCCTTCCGTTTCTACATTCAACTCAACAGAGTTCCCAGAAGTGAAGGTCACTCCTGAGGGGCCGACCAGCAGAGGAGGAGCCACCAAGGACAGCGGAGGATTGGGGCTGATGGAAGAAACTTCAGGACTGATCCAAGGCAGCCTTCAAGCCCTCCCCTCGACTCAGTGCAGTGCAGTATGAAGGTCCCATGCGCATCTGTGAGCATGAGTGTGGCAGGTGCAGGGGTGGGGGCTGAAGGGAGGACTTTTATACTTTTGTACCTTTGGAACCAGAGAGATATGCTTATGTTATTTTTCAGCTTTTCTGTCTCCCAGGGGTCTGAGACTGGGCTGGAAGGGGGAGGGGATAGGAGAGAGATGCAGCTGGCCTCATTTGGGTCCTTAGCAAACCATCTGCTCTTTTTATTCATCTTACGGGTGGACAGGTGGGATACTTTCTCCCGCCTCATCCCCACACTGATCTGAACATTGTTGGGGCCCAGAGTGCAAATTTCACCTTTGCATTTTCTCCAATGCCCCATAGGCCAAACTCTTGTGTTTGGGGGTTGGTCTTAGAAACAGGGGTCCTCCCACCTCCTCCAGGGCTCACTGTGCCACTACCCCTGTGGATGTGGGTATATATTACCTGGAGTCCCTGCCACTTACTGCCTTAAGACCTAGGATTGCTGCTGTGGTGCTGGGGGAGCAGCAGAAGTCATGTTTACAGATCAAGGCTTCCCTTTCTCCCTTGGGGAGGGACGTGGGCCTCTAATCAGACATTCCTACCAGGGGGTGGGTGGAGGGGCCACCCCTTTGTCCCTGCTTCTTCCCCTGCCCGAGCAACACTGCCCCCCTGAGGGGTGGGGGGGGGCGAACAACGGGAGCAGGAACAAGGGGATCCAAGACCCAGAATGTAGGTGCCCCAGCCTCCCACTGCTGACAGGATCCTCCTGGCACCAGGCAGAGCAGTGACTGCTGCACCGGTTATTCCCTGATAGAGGGAAAAATGACTGTTAGGATCCTGTTCATAAAACTCTTTGTTATTTGTCTGATGCCCATGACTGGGGACTTTAAATTTTTGTTACTTTGTTTACAGGTCAAGATTATTTTTTTAAATTGTTGGTTTTTATTTACTGTCTACAACTGAAAACATTGAACTTAGATACTTTGTTTACAGTTGAGAATGCCCCCCCCCCGTTTGTTTACAAATGAAAGGTAGGGAAAGTGGGAGAGGGGCTTAGAAGACCCACCTGTGATGTCCCTGGACCTGGCCATCTTGAGGGGGGCTTCTAACCCTGACCTTTCCCAGGTCAAAGGTCAGCTGAGTCTTCTGTTTAACAGCACACCTGAAGGAGACTCGGGGCTGGGGTTCTGTGCAAATGCCACCACCTCTACCCCATGTATACACTTGGGAGGCGGTTTCTGAGATTCAAAAATCCCACTTCACTGCCTGTGCCAAATCCTACCAGCCAGGTCCCTAGCTCTCCTTACCCAGACTGACCTGACCTCTGCCCTTCAAGGCTGAGTGGCCTGTCTGTGGGAGAGTGTCCTTGCTATGTCCTAGGTTCTGTAAACACCCGTCTCTGGGGTCCCCCTTCAGCACAGTGGCCCTCTTTCCTGTCTGTGTAAACTGTTCCGTGAAGCCGCGCTCTGTTTTGGGAATAAACTTCTAAGGAAAACACTTGTTCCTCTTTCTGTTTCAGATGTAGGATGGTTGCTATGAATGATTCACCCAGAATGACCTTTGAAAGAATTTGAGCCCTCCTCCCTCCAAAACATCCAGTTATTTTTAGCCCATTTCATGGCAGATTTGGACCAGGTTCCTATTTCTTTCTGAAATATGGCCTCTCACCTTGTGATTGGAGCCTGAAGTTAGACACAGGAGCTGGGCACGAGAAGCCTCCTTCTGGGGCTAGGCAGTAGAGTGTGGGCTCCCTTATATCTGGAGCCTGACATTTGTGGTCCTGCCCACTTGTCAAACTAAACCTAGGAGTTGCCTTTCGGTGTGTGCCTTTCCCACCCACTCTCTGACTCTGGTCCTTCTGACTTGGATCTAGCCAGAAGCTTGAAAGCTCAGAGGAGCTTCCCTTCCCTTCCTAGATCACTGGCTGGGGTGGGTCTCCAGAGTGGGCAGGGACCCTCCCAGCTCCATTTGCAGTATAGGCAGCCAGAATTGAAAGGGAGGCCTTGAGAATCGAGTGGTGGTGGCCAATGCTTTTGATCACAACGTTAGTCCCAGCACTCAGGAGGCTGAAGCAGGTGGATCTCTGATACAGAGGGTAGCCTGCTCTACAGAGAGAGTTCCAGGACAGCCAGGGCTACACAGAGAAATGTCCGCGGGGGTGAGGGTGGGGGGGAGTGGGGGGTGGTGGAGTGGGCTGGAGGTCTTGAGGTCACTGTGCCAGGTCTTAGAGGTAAAGTCTGAGGGTGGTGCTCACAGCTTGGTGGTCCCTGAGAGGCCCTACAGACCTAGATTTCCCACAGTTGAGGTCGGGGTCCCTGCTTACACTTCTAGGCATCCAGATCATTCAGGGATTTCTCCCCTGCACTACGGGGGCCCTCCACAAAGCCAGAACGTAAGATCGGGTCCATCCATTCAGGGGCACGGAGACACATAATTGGCGAAGCGTAGCACAGCTCCTTTGTTACAGTCCTCGCTGGAGGCAGCTGGTTAGCTGGCTGCGACCGACTAGAGCTGCAGGGGAAAACTTAAGATAGGCCTCTGGGAAGGAAAGGGTTAAACCCCCAATCGCCGGGCTCGCCCCGCCCGGAGAGTATGACTTAGGTTCCACCCTAGAATTCTCATTGGTCTGAGCATGCACATCCCCGGCGGTGGAGCGTGATGCCGGCCTCGTTCCCGGCCTGGCGCCACCTTCCCGCCGGTAGTGGCCTCCCGCGGGAGCTGTCCCAACAGCGGCACTCGAGCTACCTGAGGGCAATGGGGCTGTCCGATGGGTCCGGTGAGTTACAGGGCGCCGCCCGAATTACACGTGTCCACGAAACGTTAGCAGTCCTGTAACCCCCGGCCTAGGTCAGTTCTGAAAGGGAACCGCCGAATTCCCAGCAGGCATTTCCCGCCTGCACAGCCTCAGTTTACCGCCTTGCCGATTTTCCGCAGGTGGTTGTCCATCAGCAGCGAGGGATGGGGGCGGGATCCGGCGCGACCCTAGCTCTTGAGGCGGAAAGTCCCTGGAGCGCTAATCAGGGGGTCGCAGGGAGGTTGCTGGCTGCCAAGGAGCCCAGGCCCAGGAGGTGCGCCGGCTGGAGGTGCGCCGGCTGGAGGTGCGCCGGCTGGGCGCCTTGGGACCGGGAGACGGACTGCTGCGAGACAGGCTCTCCCCAGGCCGTGGACCAGCGGCGGCCGGAGGCAGCGTGGTTGTGAGCACTCTGGCGCTCGGGGCCCTTGTACCCTCCCAAAGGGCGGGGCCGAGGATCAAGGCTCCGCCCCCGGGCGCGTGCTGCCCGGTAAAGGGAGGGAGCCCTTTAAGAAGACTTGAGTGATCTAGAAGGAGGGGAGAGGGGGCCCTGAGGTCTGGCCAGCCCGCGGTGCAGAGAACCGCTGAGGATCTTCCTTGTACTTGCTCTGCTCCCTCCTCCAACTTGGACACCCGGTTAGAGGCTCTTCCCAGGTGAGTCCTACCCCTCTGGTGGGATCCTGTCCCCTGGTTGTAGCTGCTTCCAGATCAGAACTGACGGATGAAAACTTTCCCCAAATGCTAGTTCACCCTCCAGATTTAGCCCACTCCCCGAAATATATTCGCAGAGGAGAGCTGCATTCCATATGGAGTCTCCCCCAGCTCAGTTTCTTCTGAGAGAACTCCCCAGATGAGGAGAACCTTTTCCCTCCTCCACCCCCTTCTCCCACTACCTCCGAGAGATTCACCCCCAGGTCAGAACTTGCCTGGCTGGTGATGGCTCTCTGGGCAGGATTCCCTCTAGGTTGGATTGGCTTCTGAAAATTCCTGTTTCCAGGTGAATTCTCCCTACTTCAAGTGGGAGCCTGTCTCCGGAGGTGAGAGCTTGGACCCTGGAGATAGAGGTGTCTAGGTGGGCCCTGTCCTAAAGCTTGGGGGCAGTATTGCTTACAGATCTTTGGTTTACTAGGTCCTTTCTCTGAACATGCTCTCTGCCAGTGAGTCAGGGCCTGTGGTACAGCTAGCTGGAAAAAGGACTGGACAGGAATTGGTTCAGGGAAGGCAAGAGGCTGAGAGAGGTAGGGGCAAGGAGGCACAGCCGGTCTGAACCTGGACCTGGACCTGGACATGAACTTGGAGTGGTACTCAGGGCTGGGCAGCCACACCTGAGCTGGATGTTTAAGTCATGGTCATCCCACTCTCCCTCCTGGAGAGACTTTGGCCCAGAAAGAGGCTTCCAGCAGCCAAAGTTCAGGTACTGCCCCTGGCTGGGTGTGAGCACGGGGCCCTCAGAGACCAGCAGGGTTGGATCTACCCTTGATCTTTGAGCCTGGAAAACTCAGGTGCGCGACACTGTGGTCCCACGTAGAAGTGTAGGAAACGTTGGGACAGGGGAATCCTCATTGTGTGGCTGTGATCTCACCTCTCTAGACCACGGGACGCAACAGACACAGGCGCTCCTGTCTGCAGCCCAGGAGATGGAGCTGCGAAGACGAGACTACCACGTGGAAAGGCCATTGCTGACCCAGGGGCAGCTAGAGGATCTGGGGCACTGGGGCCCAGTGTCCAAGACCTACCAGTGGCGAGCCTGGTTTCGGTAATGATGAGGGTAAAGGGCTGGGGTGCTCTGGCAGGGCCCAAGTCCTATCTCTAACAGACTCTTTCTGTCCCCAGATGCTCCCGTGCTCAGGCCCATGCTCTTCTGCTCCATTATGTTCCAGTCTTGGGCTGGTTACCCCGATATCCTGTGCGTGACTGGCTCCTGGGTGATCTGTTATCTGGCCTGAGTGTGGCCATCATGCAGCTTCCACAGGGTGAGCTACCTTCAACAGCCTGGACTGTAAGCTCTGTGGTCTGTGAAACACCAAACCAGGAGCCCTGGCCCTGTTCTTGGAACTATGGCCCCTGAACCCAGGGCTTGGATTCCCCTACCTTTTTGAGACCCTGTTCTCCAAGTCTGCATTGCAACCTTCTACCTCCAGGCCTGGCCTACGCCCTCCTGGCGGGATTACCTCCTATGTTTGGCCTGTACAGTTCTTTCTACCCCGTCTTCGTCTATTTCCTGTTTGGTACCTCTCGACACATCTCTGTGGGTAAGCGAAGTCAGGCCTAGCTTTTCATAGAGGGTGTCCTGTGTCGAGGGGAGGGCCAGGCTGGGCAGGGCAGCTTGGGGAAGAGGGCAGTGTGGGTGTTACGTCACTAAGAGAATAGCATATGGACCACCCCAAGAAGTACTAGAAAACTGACTATAGAGGTTACAAGTTCAGGATATCTCTTAAGCCCTGGCTTCCGGGTGAATGAGACAGTTCATGGGGCCTGGGAGTTCCGAGAGGCCTGTCCAGCCCATCTATGATCCTTTTGTTGCTCCTAGTGAGCCTTTGTGTCACAGAACACTGGACACCGGTGAGACAAGGTGGCGAGAGGAGGTCGCCATTAGAGGCTAGCCGTAAGAGCTCGTGAGCTCAAGGGTCACTTCTGACCTTGGCCATGTCTAACCAGTACTGCCTCCATTTGTGTAACTGTAGGCCAAGGATATTTGTTCGGGATGGGATGTCTGCTGGCCTCTTTTAATTAAGACCGGGGCTCCAGAGCAGGACAGCGTCCTCTTCCCCTCAGACCCGCCCTGTCCTGCCCCTTCAGGGACCTTCGCCGTAATGTCTGTGATGGTGGGCGGCGTGACAGAAACCTTGACTGCAGATGAGGCCTTTGTGCAAGGCTTGAATGCCACGGTTGATGATGCCCGAGTGCAGGTGGCCTACACACTCAGTTTCCTGGTCGGCCTCTTCCAGGTACGGAACAGCCACCCCTTAGTGTCTGCCTTACCCCGTGTCTTCTGGCTGTCATTTGTCCCTCTGATCCCACTGGCCTAATGATTTCTGCCTCCCTGACTTTCCCTGACCGCCCAACAGGTGGGGCTGGGCCTGGTACACTTCGGCTTCGTGGTCACCTACCTCTCGGAGCCTCTGGTCCGCAGCTACACCACAGCCGCCTCTGTGCAAGTCCTTGTCTCGCAGCTCAAGTATGTGTTTGGCATCAAACTGAGCACCTACTCTGGGCCACTGTCCGTTATCTATGTGAGTGAGGGTGGGGCAAGGGTGGGTAGGCGTGCTGTGCCCCATGACCGTGAACCCTGGCTATAACACCACTTCTCCTCAGACAGTGCTGGAGGTCTGCTCAAAGCTGCCGCTGACTGTGCCCGGCACCGTGGTCACGGCACTTGTGGCCGGAGTGGTGCTTGTGATGGTGAAGCTGTTGAATGAAAAGTTCAAGCGGCATCTGCCCCTGCCCATCCCTGGGGAACTGCTCACGGTTGGTTCGGGTGCCAGGGCATGGTGGGCAGAGGAGAAGGGGAAGTGAGGGCAGATCTGTGCCAGTACACAACCTCGAGGTATCTGAGGACCAGATGGGGTGACCGCTCGCTGTCAGGATGCCTGGGTGCTGTGGGGCCACTGCAGCAGGAAGCCCCATCATGGGCTTTTTACCAACTTGGGCAGCCTATCCCCTTCCTCACATGGTAATGTTTACCTCTCACCCTATCCACAGCTTCTTCCTCAGAAAAAGATTTCTGTCCCCCATAATGGTTTACCCTTCTCCCTTATGATACTGGCAGGACCTCCCTCCCCTAATTCTGTCCTGTCTCCACAGCTCATTGGGGCCACCGGTATTTCATTTGGTGCAAATCTGAATCAAAGATTCCAGATAGACGTGGTGGGCAACATCACCACAGGGTAAGCGCTGGTCCTGTCAGGGAGGTGGGGCAGCCAGAGCCAGAGCCATGCTCTGACCTCATCGATGTTCCTCCCAGGCTGATACCCCCAGTGCCACCCAAGACAGAGTTGTTTGCAAAGCTTGTGGGAAATGCCTTTGCCATCGCTGTGGTGGGCTTCGCCATTGCCATCTCACTCGGGAAGATTTTTGCCCTGAGGCATGGCTACCGCGTGGACAGTAACCAGGTCTGTGATTCGGATCATGTAGGGGCATACAGGTGTACACAGGCCCAGATGATAGGGGTGAAATAGAGAAGGGTCAGGGTGGGCTTGAAAATGACTGAGGGGGAGAGAATGCGATGTTGGGGACAACAGCCAGATGTTGGAGGCCACTGAGTAGGACTGGGGGTTGGGAGTGTGTCAGCCTACACAGGAGAGTGACATGGCATCCCTGGCAGTACTTCTCACACCACACTCCCCCAACAGGAGCTGGTGGCCCTTGGCCTCAGTAACCTCATTGGCAGCTTCTTCCAGTGTTTCCCCGTGAGCTGCTCCATGTCTCGGAGCCTGGTACAGGAGAGCACTGGGGGCAACACGCAGGTGGGCCTCAGGTGTGAGCATGCATGTGCGGGCTTACCATCTGGGTGAGCGTGCTGTTCCGCCAGGGTGGACCCAGCTGTGGGTGTATGTCCATCTGGGTGAGCGTGCTGTTCCGCCAGGGTGGCCCACCCCTCCTCACCTTCACCCCTGCTAACTCCTACCCTGTAGGTCGCTGGAGCCATATCTTCCCTGTTCATCCTCCTCATTATCGTCAAACTTGGGGAACTCTTCCGAGACCTGCCCAAGGTGAGCCTCCACCCCTCCCAGCCAGCCTTCAGTCAGTCTAGTCCCATGTGAGGGGCTCAGAGATACACGGTTGAGCCCTTGGGGATACAATCTGGAATTAGCGGTCAAGGGTTAGAACTTTCTAATCAGCTTCAAGGGGTTAAGGTTAGTGTGGGTGGTAGTTGGTTGGAGGATGGGCTCTGCCCAAGTGCTTGGCCAGCCTGGGTGGGTCATGCCTGGGGGGTAGAGGCTGTGAGCCTCTAGGAACCTCTCGGTAACCTCGTGACATTCTCCCTGCCCCAGGCCGTCCTGGCAGCCGTTATTATTGTGAACCTAAAGGGCATGATGAAGCAGTTCTCTGACATCTGCTCTCTTTGGAAGGCAAATCGAGTGGACCTGGTGAGGTGCTTGGGAGCCTAGGACTGGGCTTTGGGCCTTTAGTGCCAGAGGACCCTTTGACCCCTGTCCTTTTGTTATCAGCTGATCTGGCTGGTGACCTTTGTGGCCACCATCCTGCTGAACCTGGACATTGGCCTGGCGGTTTCCATAGTATTCTCCCTGCTACTCGTGGTGATCCGGATGCAGCTGTGAGTCAACCACTTTTGGTACTCCCAATTCCAACTTGGTGAGGGAGTAAGTTTCACACTGGCTCTCCACAACTTTCCTTACATCTCTGGGGACACCCCAAGTTCCTCATTCCCCTCTCATGGCCTTTTCTTTGCCTCCTTTTTTTGCCCCTAACTCTCTCCTCAGGCCCCATTACTCTGTCCTGGGGCAGGTGCCAGATACGGATATTTATAGAGACGTGGCAGAATACTCAGGGGTGAGTGGCAGGACTAAATGGGCGGTTGGGGCAGACAAGATAAATGGGCCCTTTTTATTCCCTTCCACAGGGACAAGAACACTGGGGGATGGGCTGGGAAAAGGACTCAGGGTACACTGTTGGCTCTATGAACATGAAGACCTGAATTTGGGTCCCCAGCACCCACGTAAAATGCCAGGCGTAGCAAGCAGCATGTGTGTCTGTAACCCCAGGGCTCAGAGGCAGTGACAGGAGGATCTCTGGGGCTCACTGGCCAGCTAGTCTAGCCAATTGGTAAGCTCCAGGTTGGGTAAGAGACCCTGTCTCAATGGTGAGGAGCCATAGACAAAGATACCCAATGTCTTCACATGCAAGGTGCACACCCGTACACACACACACACACACACACACACACACACACACACACACACACACTGGGAGCATTTTGGCTTTGGTTCTTGGAATTTGAAGAGAGGAGTTTGGGTCTGTGACCCTATTCAGGGCATAAGTGGATAGATCAGTCTTGGAGCCAGAAGAACAAGCCCTACCCTGTAGAGTACCCCTGGGTCAAGAGAATGGAGGGGTGGGGGGCGGGGGCGGCACAGGATGTCGGGGAGGTTGTTTCCTGGTCTGCTCAGTGGGAATACAAACTCCCCAGTTGCTAGTTCATATAAAGAGCCTCATGTCATGTTCTGAGAACAAAGGTTGTGTGAGAGTCGGGAATAAAATCAGCCCTGGAGGCCGACTGCAGTATGATTAGGCAGAATACAGAGTAGAATGAGGGGTCTAGGGGTTGGAGAAGACGGGAGGGGAGCAGCCAGGTGATTGGGAGGTGGCCCACGTGGTACAGCCCAAATGCTGGGAGAGACCTGGGCTGGGGGTGGGATGAGGTGAGAACTGGGGAAGGTAGGAGTGGAGGAAGCTGAGGGTGGCTCTTCTGTCTGCGTGCGGGAACAGCAGAGCACAGGGTGGGAGGCTCAGGAACGGGGCGCTGCAGAGAGCTGAACCCCAAAACCTGGTCAAAGACGAGAGAGTCGGGAGGGACCGGATCTGTGCAACACAGGGAGCTGGGGTGATGTCACTAGGCTTCTGGCCCAGACTCCTGGAAGGGTATCGGTCACAGGCTGGGAGCAGAGGGTAGCAGGCTAAGAGGGGGAAACTGAGTGAGGAGGATTCAGTGGAAGGCAAAGAAGGTTCAGCCACTCCAACTCCACCTCATCTCCAGGCCAAGGAGATCCCTGGCGTGAAGGTCTTCCGCTCCTCCGCCACCATTTACTTTGCCAATGCTGAGCTCTACAGTGACTCACTGAAACAGAAGGTGAGGCTGGGGTCCCCCTGCTTGGTGTGTGTGTGGGGGGGGTCTGAATACCGTCATCTCCCCGGAGTACCCAAACCCTACCTCTGCCTTGGTGTCTAGTGTGGTGTGGACGTTGACCACCTCATCTCCCAGAAAAAGAAACGGATCAAGAAGCAGGAGATGAAGATGAAGCGGATGAAGAAAGCCAAGAAGACCCAGAAACAGGTGCAGTTCCCTCAGCAGCTCCTGGCCCAGCCCTGCTGTGGACTCAACCGCGACCCTCAGCCACTCTGGCATCCTTCTTTGGACTTCCTCCCAGTCTGGTCCTTGTCCCATTTTCTCACCCCCATCATTTCTCTTCACTACTCTTTGTCTCTCCCCTTTCTCCCTCAGCCCCCCAGGGACCCTGGTTCAGCCCCGGGCGGGGCAGGGCAAACTCTTGAGATGTTGTGTTCCTCTCCTGGATTAATCACAGCGTCCACCACAGCAGGTCCCTTTCATTGTCACAACTTCTCAGGCCTGCAGCCTAGTCCTATTGTGGCTTCTTGCCCAATGCCAGGGGCAATACCAGGTCTACCTGGCATGGTTGTCATATGGCACTTGGGATAACTTTCCCATCATCCCTCTTCCTTCCTAGGCTACCTCTTCCAAGATCTCCTCAGTTTCAGTCAACGTCAACACCAGCTCCGAAGACATCAAAAGCAATGATGTGGAGGAGGGACCAGCCAAGACCCGCAAAGATGTGGGTGTCCACATATGCTGCATGAGAAAAGCCATGACCTGCTAGTGTGGGTTTGAAGGTGTTGGGCTAATGATGGGAGGAATTGGGTGAGGGGTTGTACGCTGCAGGAAGACCCTTGTGATACCAAATTCTCCTCTGGCTCTTGTCTATAATCTCAGACTGACCTAGATGAAGACCTTGAATTTATAGATGTAACAAGACCCACAGTCTATGCTCATGGATAGGGAAAGGGCTTAGGAACATTGGGAAAAATCTAGAGATAAAGAGGGATACCAAGTTCAACCAAAGATTCAGACAGGTCAGGGTATAAGGTGTGTATGAATGAGTGTGGGCCCGTGAGTGCCTATGGCCATCTTGTCTGTTCCTAGGCCCCTGTTCACTCTACCCTGTTTAACTAAGGGTGGGACATGATCTCCCAGCACCCTCCCTTGTGTCTTTGTTAAGCTTTGGCCCAGGAAGTACCAAAGCAGTTTGTGCATGTTGGAGTATGCCTTCCTGTGTCCCTCCATGTCCCTCCTGCGTTTATAGATCCACATGTCTCTCCTAGCAACCCGTGTCTGTGTCCTTCTGTGTCCCATGCTCGTCTTCATATATCTGCATTTTTGCGTGCATTTATAGTTTCTGTCTAGCTCTGTGTGTCCCTGTACACTGTGTGCATGCCTTTGCTCTGTCATGGATGGTCCCTGAGCACATCTGAATCCACTGCAGGTGCACCAAGAGGAGGAGCTGGATAATGTGGTCGCCAGCAATCAAGATGTCAAGGCCCCAACCATGCCCTCTCTGAAGTCCCTGGGCCTACCCCAGCCAGACTTCCACAGTCTCGTCCTAGACCTGAGCACCCTTTCCTTTGTGGACACAGTGTGCATTAAGACCCTGAAGAACGTAAGGGGTTATGGCCGGCTAGGGCCCCTCAAGCTGACCCCATCACTTGCCCTCTGAGCTCCCCCATAAATCTTGCCCAACTGCTGCCCCTCTAAGGCCGGCCCTCTTTGTTGCTGCAGATTTTCCGTGACTTCCGGGAGATCGAGGTGGAAGTATACATCGCAGCCTGTTACAGTGCGTTGAGTGGGGACAGCAACAATCCCGGCAGAGGGCGGGACTCTTCCGGTCAAGGGCTTGTCAGACAGCACAAGGAAAAAAGTCTTTTTCTGAAACTGCATGCCTTGGGAGACAGGAGTCAAGAGTCAGGGGCAGGGCTAGGGAGATGGCTCAGTGCTGCCCACACATGAAGACCTGAGTTCAAATCCCCAGCACCATGTAAAATAAGCCAGGCGTGTCTGTGCATGCCTGTGATGCTGGCCTTCGGTGGGTGGAGACAGATGGTTCCTAGGAGCTAGCTGGTCACCCAGCCTAGCCAACATAGAGTTTCAGGGTCAGTGAGAAACCCCGACTCAAGGGACTAAGGTTGAGAGACATAAGAACAGAACATTTGACATCCTGCTGTGTCCTCTGGGTGCAAGCAACACCCCCACACAGACACCCCCCCCCACAGACACATACACATAAACACACACACATAGACATATACACATATAGACACACAGACATACCCCCACACAGACACACACACAGAGACACACCCCCACACAGATATATAGACACACACACAGACACCCCCCCACACAGACACATACACATAGACACACACACATAGACATATACACATATAGACACACAGACATACCCCCACACAGACACACACAGACACACCCCCACACAGATATATAGACACACACACACAGACACCCCCCCCACAGACACATACACATAGATACACACACATAGACATATACACATATAGACACACAGACATACCCCCACACAGACACACTCACAGAGACACACCCCCACACAGATATATAGACACACCCACACAAACACAGACACCCCCCCCCACAGACACATACACATAGACACACACACATAGACATATACACATATAGACACACAGACATACCCCCATACAGACACACACACAGAGACACACCCCCACACAGATATACAGACACACACACACACAGACACCCCCCCACACAGACACACACATATACACATAAATAGACACACAAACACACATAGACATCGGAGTGACTGGGTTTCTAGCTGTAGTAGCCTCAGGGGTAGCAGGGATCAGAGAATCTTAGGGGCTCCTGGGGACTGGGGCTCCTGGTGGTACTGAATGTCAGGACCTCCTCCTTGCCCACAGGTCCTGTGGTCACCCAGCTTGAGGCTGGACACTTCTTTGATGACTCAATCACGAAGCAGCATCTTTTTGTCTCTGTCCATGACGCTGTGACCTTTGCCCTCCACAACCGGAAGCCTGGCTCTAAGAGCCCTGTTTTGGTAAGCTGCCTCTGGCCCACTGAGCGGTTTTGTTAATCTGTTGCTTATCCCCACCCTGACCCCAACTCCAGAAAGTCCGTGCTATTGCCCAGGGCTCTGGCCACACGGAACCCATTGCTCTCCCCTCCTGCCCGGAAGAAAGTTGTTTGTGTGTGTGTGTGGGGGTGCTGTCTCAGGAGCAGGCGTTCACATATGTCCTTCAGAAACTAACTGGGGGCTGGAGAGATGGCTCACTGGTTAAGAGCGCTGGCTGTTCCTCCAGAGGACCTGGGTTCAATTCTCAGCACCCACATGACAGCTCACAACCATCTGTAACTCCACATAAACATACATGCAGGCAAAATACCAATCAACACTCATAAAATAAAAATAAAGAAAGAAAGGAAGGAAAGAAGGAAGAAAGAAAGAAAGAAGAAAGAAAGAAAGAAAGAAAGAAAGAAAGAAAGAAAGAAAGAAAGAAAGAAAGAAAGAAAGAAAGAAAAAGAAAGAAAGAAACTAACTGGAACTTCCTCTCCTGCCCACACAGGCCACCAAACTGTGACTTTACTGCTGGAGATTACCTACCTCTGGAGGTTGTGACAGGTCACCCTCATGAAACTCCTGCCTCTAGGCCACCTCCAGGTGCCACCCAAGACTCTGTTCCATGTACATGCACATATAACTCATGGATGGATGCCTTGGGACTCCAAGTTCAATGCTAGAGGCCTGGGGCAGGGTATTGCAGTCAGGCTGGCCCTGGCTGGGTGCTGGAAGGGAGCTGATGTGGGTTTACAGCTTTGGGAATAAATGTGTCTGTCCAACTTCAGGCTCTGCTGTGATGCGGTCAGGGTGTGGCTGGGCCACCGTCCTTAGCTCTGCTCCCAAACCACCTTATATAAACACTAAGGTAGACATAACTGGGGTGTAAGATTCAGGGAGGTCAGGGCCAGACAGAGAGCATGCCGAGCAGGGCAGCTGTAGGGCCCAGGCTGGGTTGGGATTTTACATGCTCAGGGTCCTCTTCAGTTTCACACGGACAGCCCTTTTGTTCCAAATGGAAAAAAATCAATGGAATCAAAACTGTTGCTCAGGACTAAGCCATTCTCAGGGATAGCCTGACAAGAGGCAAGGCCGAGTCGGTGCTTCTGGGGGATGTAGAGTGAACCCCAGACCCCCATTCACAGGGTCTGCAGCTGGATTTAAAAATCAGTGTTAGGCCGGGCGGTGGTGGCGCACGCCTTTAATCCCAGCACTGGGGAGGCAGAGCCAGGTGGATCTCTGTGAGTTCGAGGCCAGCCTGGGCTACCAAGTGAGTTCCAGGAAAAGGCGCAAAGCTACACAGAGAAAACCTGTCTCGAAAAAACCAAAAAAAAAAAAAAAAAAATCAGTGTTAGGCCGAGCGGTAGTGGCGCATGCCTTTAATCCCAGCACTCAGGAGGCAGAGGCAGGCGGATCTCTGTAAGTTCGAGGCCAGCCTGGTCTACAGAGTGAGTTCCAGGAAAGGTGCAAAGCAACACAGAGAAACCCTGTCTCGAAAAACCAAAAAAAAAAAAAAATCAGTGTTAGGAATTGCCTACTCATAGAGTTGCAACACTGGGATTGGCAGAACACTGTCAGCCAAAACTGGCTGCTTTCTGGCCTGAGACACCAACAGAGCATGCGCTGGTCCTATGGGCCACTGATCCCGTGGTGGGAAGGATGGGGCAGTGGGCTCCTGTTCAGTGAGGGATCAACAGCCTCCTGAGTTGCCCGGTGAGTTACCCAAGCAAACCCATGGGCATGACCAGAACAAAGCAATACCCACATCACCTGCCCAGAACACATGAACTTCCCTATTCATCAGGTACGTTCCAGGTGCCAAGTTCAGTGCTAGGCGCTAGGCAAGTTCCCAACAGCAGACTGAGTCTCCCTGCCCTCCAAATCACCCAGGTACCCTCGCCTGTCCCTATTTTTATCACGGCATTTGCCCGTGCCTGGCACCATAGTGTTTACAAGCCATTTCTGCTCCCACCAAAGCCTCAGCCCAGAAAGGCAGAGCTTTTTGTCTGTCCCATGGCACTGCATTCTGGCACTAGGGCTTGGGTGCTTGGTAAATAGTGTTTGAATGAAGACTTGGAGCCAGAGGCAGACTTCAAACAAGAACTTGTCAGGCTGGCCTTGGCTGGGTGCTCGGAGGAAGCTGGTTTGAGAATAAAGATGAATGAGGATGTAGGTAGCCAGAAATGCTCTAAAGAAAATAACGTAGGGTCCTGTTAGAGAAAGTGGATTATATCACCAAGGTAGTCATGGGAGGGGTGCTGGCAGTGCGTGAAGCTCTAACCTTGAGAAGAAGGTGGCTTTCTAGAAGGGAAATCATGCTCCCAGAACAAGGAAGAGTTGAGGGAGGCCTGGGTAAGGCAGGGACAGCAGCCAGCAGGGGCCTTCAAGGAAGCTACACTTTTGAGTTCTTGCTGTGCGCAGTGCTGAGAGGTATGTTAAGCTGTTGGGTAGCTCCCCTAGAACATTGAACCTTAAAGGCATAAGCATCAGGGTGCTTAGATTAAGGAGGGACGGTAGGTGAGTTGGAGGCCAGCGTGTAAGAGGTTCTTTTCATACCTAGTCCACCTGGGAGAAAGGGACCCAGCCCTAAACCTGCATTATTTGATCAGCTGCCCCCCACCCCCGTGTCCCATCATCTGGCCAAGCTGTGTTTTGAAAGGCTATGGGCCTAGCTGGAACCTGCTGTCTCAGAGCAGGGGGAGGGCAGGGGCGGCTCTTGGGGGAGGGGTGTTTGCTGGTTGCCAAGGTACCTGGGTTCCGGCCTCTGGCAGTGGCCACAGCCATGCTGTACTCACTGTTCTTAGTGGCATCACTGTCCCTGCTGGTGATGCCTGTCCCTAGCCATGCCTGGTCACGGCCCCTCTGGTACCAAGTGGGGCTGGACTTGCAGCCCTGGGGCTGCCAGCCAAACAGCCTGGATAGCTGCAGGAGCAGTCTCGGCTGCCCTGGTTACTGGATGGCCCTGGGAGGAAACCGCGTCTACCCCGTGGCTGGGATCACGATCACCACCACCATGATGCTGGTCGTCTCCCGTGTGATGTTGTACCGGTGGCGTTCTCGGGTCGCCAAGGGTCAGGTGAGTACAGCTTTCCTCTGTCTTCTCGAGACCCTGCTTCTGCTCACCCACGTCCTCGATCAGCCTGGCTTAGGGCCTTGTTGGCCTCCTGCCTGGCCTTGTCCTCACGCCTATGTCCTACTCTTGCATTTCTGTGGAACCCCTGTCTACACCAGTCCACCCCTAAACATTGCTCAGGGCCAGTACTCTGACCCATCTGCCCCCATTTAATACTCCCACTCGTCATTCAGCCTCCATGGGCTCCAGGACCACCTAACCCCTGGCAGATCCACAGTGACCCATTACCTGTCTCCCCAGCCTCTGGCACTGCCCCGTAGCCTCTCTCCAGCTCCATTGCTGCCCCCCCCCCCCCCGCCCCCCGCCCTCATCCGCTCTCACGCTGATCTTATACTCTCAGCTCCCACAGGTGACCTCCAGCTCCTGCAAACACTGGAAACGACAGGCAGTTGTCTCAGACCGCACCCTGGTCCTTAGGGTCCTTCACATGCTGGACGCCATCCTGGTCCACATTGAGGGCCACCTGCAGCGCCTGGCTTCCCAGCAACAAATGCAAATAAAAGGGACTCCCACTCAGTCTGGGTGACCCAATACAGGCTTCTCTTTATCTGATTGTCGTCTGGAGCGGGGAATGGCCCAAGGCCTTGGGGCACCGGCGTGTGTATCTGTGGGACTGTCTAGACCCTTCCACTGTTAGAAGCAGTGGCTTGTTGACCATGCGGTGCACAGGTTAGGTGGGCAAGTAGTCCCAGGCATCACTGCCCTCTCAGTGGGGTAGTGCCCACTCGTTTGTTTCCAGCCCTGCCCTTGTCTCATCTCAGGGAGGTGGATGAGTAAACTCAGGACCCACCACCAGAAAGCAGCTGGCTCGGCTCCTCCTATACCTTTGCAAGGCTCTCCCCAAGAGGTCACTGCTCTGGGTCCAGTAGTTGACACTCCTCAGATGCCCCATCTCTAACCCCATCCTCACTCCCAGCGCAGGCCCCTAAAGCCCCAACCTAGGGCCAGTCAGGGATCCCTAACTGCCTTTATTGGTGTGGCAACTTTAGACATACTCTGATGCCCAAGCAGCTCCAAGGTCTCTGGAGTAAGCGTGAGGGTTGAACTACTTCGAAGGACCCCTCACTCCTCTCCTCCCTTCCTCTTCCATGGGTGATCCTGGTTGAATGGGTCCCGGGGAATAGGAATTTTTAGAGTCTCGTGTTTCAGAAAAGTAAACTCCAATCACAAATCAAAGGCAAACAGAAGTAAATCAAAATAATGAGAAAAGGGCTGGGGCTGTTGCTCAGCTGGCAAAGTATGTGCTTAGCATGCATGAGGCCCTGACTTTGATCGCTCTGAGAAGAAACAAAATGAGAAAAATCACAACGAATTTAAAAGAGGCTTTGTGTGTGTGTGTGTGTGTGTGTGTGTGTGTGTGTGTGTGTGTGTGTGTGTGTGTGTGTTTCGAGACAGAGTCTAACCACACAGCTCTGGCTGGACTTCAACTTGGTGTCTCCCCCCTGCTTCCTCTTTCTAGGGGCAGCTATTATAGCGTGCGCCCCAACATGTGGCTGGAAAAGGGGCTTTAAGTTGACAAATATTGTAATAGTAAATCCGGAAAAAATAACATTCATGGGACCCTCCTGACACCTCCTTGTGATGTTTCCCCTGCTATGGCTTTGGCTTCTTTTTGTTTGTTCTGGTCTAAGACAAGGTTTGGGTACGTAGTCCTGGTGACCTAGAACTCACTACGTAGACAAAACTGGTCTTGAATTCTGTCTGCCCCTGCCCGCTAGGTGCTGGGATTAAAGGTGTGATGGCTTCTATATAAGATAACTATGAGCAGCCAGGTGGTGGTGGCGCACTCCTTTAATCCCAGCACTCGGGAGGCAGAGTTTATATAGTGAGTTCCAGGAAAGGCGCCAAAGCTACACAGAGAAACCCTGTCTCAAAAAAAAAAAAAAAAAGAGCGCTGAGCAGGGTGGTGGTTCAGCCCGTAAGAATACTTACTGTACAAACCTGACTATATGAGTTCAGTCCCAGGAACTCGTGTGAAGAGCTAGATGCAACGGTACTCATAGAATCCCAGCATTTCTAGGAGATGAGAGGCAGAGGCAGGAAAATCAGCCAGTCAGAGGCACGTGGGCCTGTACACAGCATGTGACCCAACAGGAGAGACCTTGCCTCAAAACAAGGTGGAAGGTGGGAAACTGACCACAAGGACTTAGCCTCAGACCTCCACAAGTTCACTGTGTTACACATACGCTAGCCTGCTCATGTTCTCCCTTTCTCTCTCCCTCTCTTTTACACACACACACACACACACACACACACACACACACACACACACACACAAATACAAATATATATATAACTAAAATTTGGTTGGAAAGCTGTCTTGGTGATTAAGAGTATGCACTGATCTTCCAGAGGACCTGAATTAAGTTCCTAGCACCCATGTCAGGTAGCTGACAACTAACTATAACTCCAGGTGCAGGGGATCTGATACCTCTAGCCTCTAAGGTCACTCACACTCATGTGCACATACCCACACACGGACATACACACATACACATGATTGAAACTAAAATAAATCAGTCAGGCGTGGTAGTGCAGGCCTTTGATATGAGCACTCAGGAGGCAGAGACAGGTGTATCTCTGTGAACTTAGCCAGTCTGGTCTACATAGTGAGTTCAAGGTTAGCCCAAGCTACACAGTGAGACCCTATCTAAAAAAGAAAAAGAAGAAAGAAAGAAAGAAAGAAAGAAAGAAAGGAAGGAAGGAAGGAAGAAAGGAAACAAAATAATAATAACAATAAATTAAACAATTTCTATTTATTTTATGAGTACGGGTATCTGCCTGCATGCATATCTACGCTCCACATGCACACCTGGTACCCGAGAAGCTAGAAGAGGGTGTTGGATCCTCCAGGACTGCAGCTACAGATGGTTGTGAGCCACCACGTGGGTGCTGGGAACTGAACCCAGGAAGATCAACCAACATTCTTTGTTTTGTTTCTTTGGTTTTTCCAAGACAGGATTTCTCTGTGCATCCCTGGCTGTTCTGGAACTCACTCTGTAGACCAGACTAGCCTTGAACTCAGATATCCACTGCTTTTGCCTCCCAAGTGCTGGGATTAAAGGTGTGCACCACCACCACCCAGCTTCAACCAGTACTCTTAACCACTGAGACATCTCTCCAGTCCCTAAAATAAATCTTTTTTTAAAAATGCGTACTTTTAAAATAGGATAACCCATTTATAATTTGGGAGGTTAATTTTTTCATACTGACCCTAGGAAGATAATTCAGCCCTCCTGCTAATGTGGAGATTTATGGGTTTTTTGTTTTTTTTTTTTTTTTGGTTTTTCGAGACAGGGTTTCTCTGTGTAGCTTTGTGCCTTTCCTGGAACTCGCTTTGGAGACCAGGCTGGCCTCGAACTCACAGAGATCCGCCTGGCTCTGCCTCCCGAGTGCTGGGATTAAAGGCGTGCGCCACCACCGCCCGGCGGAGATTTATGTTTTTTTTTTTTTTTTTTTTTTTTTTACATTTTTAGCACATATAATTTATTCATTGTTATGAGGCCACATTTCTGTTCTTTTTTTTTTTTTTTTTTTTTTTTTTTTGGTTTTTCGAGACAGGGTTTCTCTGTGTAGCTTTGCGCCTTTCCTGGAACTCACTTGGTAGCCCAGGCTGGCCTCGAACTCACAGAGATCCGCCTGCCTCTGCCTCCCAAGTGCTGGGATTAAAGGCGTGCGCCACCACCGCCCGGCCACATTTCTGTTCTTAATGAAGAAAATAAAAACAGACAAAATGGACAGATAGAGTACAATGAATACTATTACCTTTGTGTATACATTGAGTAGTTCATATAAACAACTCACTGAGAGCTGATTTTCAATCATAATTAAAGAACCTTTTTTCTAAATGTATAATTATTTTAATCTGTTCCTCTAAAATATATTCAAAGTTTTTTTTTTTTTTTTTTTTTTTTTTTTTTTTTTACAATGACTATATACAATATATACAAGTAATAAATGTCTAAACAATGTCTAGTCCAGATTTATGTTTTAATTGTTGATTGTTTAGGGAAGTTATTTTGTTTTCCCTAACTCATTATTGACAGTGCTGCATGAATATTACACATGAGTTGCTGATAGTATTGCTGTTAAATTGTGTGTGTGGTGTGTGTGTGTGTGGTGTGTGCGGTGTGTGCAGAGGTGAGCACGTGGAGGCCCGAGGTCAAGGTTGGGTGACTTCCTCCACTGTTCTCCAGCTGCTGTTTGAGACAGAGGAAGCAGGCTGGAGAGGAACCAGTGCCAAAGGGCAGAGATCCTGAGTGGACACAGTTAGGGTGTCTTAAGCTGGTTTATTTATTTTGAGTGTGTGTGTGTGTGTGTGTGTGTGTGTGTGTGTGTGTGTGTGCACATGCACACATGCAAGCTTACAAGTACATGTTTACCATGGTGGGTACAGGTGACAGAGAACAGCTTGCAGGAGTTGGTTCTCTCCTTTTTTTGTTTTTTGTTTTTTGTTTTTGTTTGTTTGTTTGTTTGTTTGAGACAGGGTTTCTCTGTGTAGTTTTGGTGCCTGTCCTGGATCTCGCTCTATAGACCAGGCTAGCCTCAAACTCACAGAGATTTGCCTGGCTCTGCCTCCCAAGTGCTGGGATTAAAGGCGTGCGCCACCACTGCCCAGCGGTTTTTTTCCTTCTACCATGTGGATTCCAGGGATCAAACTCAGCTCATCAGGCCTAAGTGGAAGAAGCCCCTGTACCCAGGAAGCCATCTTGCTGATCCCTAGGTTATCTTAATTTTGTAGGTTTTCCACAATGACATGTCCCTGTGGACATATTCCTTGGGCCCTTCTCAAGGCCTGAAGTGAAGGACATTGAAGACAAAGCTTTGTTGAGGCCCCGCCCCCACCCTGCATCCTATGGGGTTTAATGAGCACTCCTGCTTGCTGGCCCTACACAGTGGCTATGAGCGTGCACTCCAGTGCATGCTGCAGCAGACCTGGCTCCTCCTTCACCTACTCACAAGTGGAGGTGCCACTACCGGTGAAACAGACTTGAGAAGACAATCCCTCTGATGCAGGGAACACTGGCCAGCTGTGGTCCGGGACCTTAAGGATGAGCGGAGTGGTCAGAGGAGAGGGTGAACTCCAGTCAGGACAAGCACCTACAAGTAACCAGTGGATACCCAGATCTCAGCCTGTGCCAGATCTAAGGTACTCTGATTTCAAGGGGGAAAGTGCTGTGGAGAGCAGGAAGAGTGGCATGAAGTAATGGCTCCTGGAGGGGGTGTGGTAGGCAGACTAATGGCCCCATAAAGACATCCGTGTCCTAATGCCTAACGCAGTATGTGGCAGAAAGAATTTGACATGAAACTAGAGAGAGGGGTCTTAAGTTAGGGAGTTTATAATGGATAAATTTTCTGGGCCCAATGTAAGGAAGAAAAAAAAAAAGGCAGGTGAGGCCGGCAGGAGGCAGAGTGATTCAGAGTAAGGGGTCCTTCATCCTGAACCAGGGACCAAAGAATTCAGGTGGCATCAGGAGCAGTGACAATCAGGCAACAGCCAGCAAGGTAACCTACAGTCACTAAGGATTGAAACGTG